GGACATAAATGACATCAGTGGTTTCCAGGGGCTGTGTGTTTGGGGAGAAGATTGGAATGGGGAACTGTTTTGAGGTGATGGAAATGTTTTGTGTTCTGATTGTTGGAGGTTAGATTGCCCAATCAGAACACAAAACATTTCCATCACCTCATAGAACTCATAGAACTGTATGTACATCTCAGAAGGGCGAATTTTACTCTAAGTTATACATCAACAAATTGACATTTAAGAAATTGGGGAGGGAAAGTCCAACAGTATAATGTGTTGCATATATTGCCCTTTGTGGCAGCACTCAGTCAGCAAATAACTAGTCCAAATGTTTGGTTTCTGGGCCGTTTTGATCATATAGCATGTAACATGATTTTCTACTAATATAGCGTGCTCATCTGCTTGCAACTTTAAAATGCCTCTAATTGGAAGCATTTCCCTTCTAAAAAGTTCAAGGATTGCTCTGTTTCAAGGAACAAGGGAGGCCACCAAAAGAATGATGAGGCAGGTCTGGACAATCAAATAACGCAGAAGCACAGAAGAAAAAAAAGGGGTGGGGGGAGGTTGGGGGGTGTGTTCCTGCTTTAATAGCTAACTGGAGAAGCAGTACAAGCCTATAGGAGTCATCATGCTGGTAAAAGGTGTTATCTTGGTTTGGAGGGAATTTCCAAAACTCTAGTTATTAGTGAGACTTTGTAGTTCAGGATGGCCTAATAGCTTAATAAAAACGCCAGTCAGAAACACCTAAAGGCTAAGTAGTACATGCAAGTCTCAGACACAGGCTGGCGCTGACGGTCAGGATTCTGCCCACGCTCTCCCCTCCCAATTCCTTTTCCCCACCAGCAGGAGAGCTCCCTTCTTCTCATTGGCCACTGTCCAGCTATCTCGAGCACTCATTGGCCCTCTCCGAGGCCGGCTTCTATAAAAACCGGGCAGTGCTGCCCGAGGGCCAACACAACTTACCTCCAGCGGTGGAGCAGGGTGGCTCCATCCTATAGGGACCAGGGATACCTTCGCGGATTTGGGGGCTCTGGGCCAGCGTGAGTCGGAGGTAAGATTGCCCAAGCATACTTAACATTTTATAAAACAACCTTTCCATGTGCTTGCTGCTATAAGAAATATACCAAGGGTAAGAAAAAAGTCTTAGCCAGAGTTGTTTAAAGCCTAGGAAGTTTGGGACTTACTAGAGTTAATATGAATTGAGTAGTTAGTGTAGGTCAGCAACTGTTCTAAGGATTTTATACATATAATCCTCTTTATTGCCTTTAGATTGGTGCTAATTATCCTTTCAGTTTTGCAAATAATGAAATTAATGCACAGTGAAATTATAGCTTGCCTAAATGGACTTGTAGATAGATTTATTACTAGCAAATTTCTCTATTATTTTACATGCTATAGGACAGTCACCCATACTCTCTGTGTGTGTGTGGGGGAAAGTCCATGGTCTTTGAGTGATAGTTAAACAAGAAACGTTTCCAAAGCTTTTCACACTTCTAAAAACAGTCTGAGGCTGCATATCTGAGACCATGCTTGAATTTTTAGCCTCAGAGTACCAATTCAGAATTTCCTATGTATAATTAAGTTTATATTAAGAAATGGTCAATTCTGTTGAAGCTGAAAATGTCTATTTGGATCTCTTGCTTCTTATCCATAGATCATTTCTGATCAGAGACTTATGATGGGCCAGAGCTATCTCCAATCATCTTTAGAATCTCATGGGAGATTGGTCAACGGAGGGGTTAAGGGGGATAAGGTGTGCTCTGCAGATATCATAGTGTGTCCTATTTTCTTCTTACTATTTGTACTTATTAGAAAGTCTGTGTCTCCTCTCCCACCTCCCTCATACATAAGTCCGTGAATCCCTGGGAGGCAAATTGTCCTTTTTGTTCTTCATCTTTATCACCCTACACTGACTATGGTACTTTATACATGTGAATGAATTGAAATCTCATTTATTTTATCATTAGTAATAATTTGAATCATAGGAAAAAACCACCTTATTATTATTAAGTTTAACTGGTCATTTGTTTTAAAGCATTGACACAGAGGTTGTTTTAGTTGTAGAGAATAAATTGACTAATAAACTTTGCTATATTAGAAAGTTTAGCACAAGCCCATACTGATAAATGTCAGACCAGTGATTGGATAAGTCTGATTTCATGTTCCAGATATTTCCTTACATTATTTTGTGGTGTGAATAGGTGGTGGAGAAGATGCCAAAGTTCATATCCAGTCCATCTTCTGAGAAAACAGGTTTTAGCTAGATGCTATGAATTTTGTCCTACTTTCTGTGTTTCCAAACATATTTAGGGCAGTCCCTGTGAAATCAGATCCATATGTTAATGTTCATATATTCAAGGACACAGTTTTAAATATGTGTTCTCATATTTGCTAGCTATGTGTCAACATGTTATTATCTCCAAGTTTCAGTTTTCTCCTTAATAAAATTGGTATAATTCCTATCCATCCCAATAAGATTTTATGAGAATTAAATGGGATAATATTAATACATAATATGTATTAATATTGGACAAATGTCAGTTCCCTTACCCACCTCTAGGATTGCTAAGAATGGATAGAAGCTGCTATCACAGAGTAGGGAATTTCTTCCTTTCTTATCTCCATACTTTCTGACTTATATGTAGAAGTCCTTCAACTCAGTATGTGCCTGATAAATATTTGTTAAACTAAGTTCCAAAGGTATCATAAAGACTAACTTCTGGAACAGAAAACTATTCCATTGGTACAGTTTCCATTTAGTAGCAGACTATTGTTTATGACCATATGGTTGAAAGCCATATTTGGTACTTTGTACCCCCCCCTGTCAAGCCAGATGGGTCTTTTGGGACTGCCTTTTTAAAGTGGTCCCAAAATTATATATAGTATGGGTTAAGAGAAGAGCTTTATGAAAGAAAGACAAAACTTCCAAGAGCTGTCTAGTCAGAAAGACAGAAACGCATAAAGTCCTTCATTTGCATCATCCTATAGGAAGATGTCTTAAAGCCAGGACTTTAGTTTAAGAAAACTACCTTGTCCTTACTTATCTCATTTAGCCTTCAATTACATGGACTAATGTCCTTTGATGGATATTTGGATGAGCATAGAAAAACAAGATGAAACTCCTCTGCACTATCTACACGGGGCCTATTAAAGGGTCTGGCCCACTTAACTTGCCTACATGATTTCTCACTGCTCTCTATTGGTTAGTCATGTCTCATCTCCTTCTACTCCTTTCCCCCTTTTCTTTAAGATCTAATTCAAACACGTCTTCTTCAATGAAATATCTCTAAACATCTACCAAAATCTATTCACTGTCACCACTATGCCATCTGAGTTCCCAATTGCCATGCTTATCTTTCTGCATTGTCACTCTCCCTCAACCAGACTTTCAGTTCCCTGAGGATAGAGACCATGTCTTTAAGAAATCTTTTTTCCCTTTTATTCATTTAATGGCATCTATGCAGTGCCTAGTATGTGCAGGACTGAGCTAGATGTTGGAGATACAATGGTGAGTAACAGCGTTTGTGATCTCTGCCCCCATGAAGCTCGAAGCTCGCAACCTAGTTGGAAAGGCACATAGAAACGAATACTCACTAAAACAGAGCTACCACTGCACCAGTGACTTGCTATGAATACATGGTGCAATGACAACCAACACTAACTGGAATTGACCTGGGGAAGTCAGGAAAAGCTTCTATGAGTAAGAGAAGTTTGAGCGATTGGAACACAGCATATCTGGCTTCAAGCCCACACCATCACCACTACCCCTATACTGAGTGGTCATACCACAGGCTTGTGTCAGTGAGTGAATGCCTGTGAAAGACAGTGGAATCAGCAATATCAACTTAAGTTGTTAAAGGTTAATTTCACTAAAACCACAACATGAAATTGGGTAATTAGGAAGACTTAATAATCATTTTAAAACTATTAAAATAAATCCTAAATATGCTATTTCCATTAATTTAAAACTTACTTCTCAAGTGTATTTCTCAATTGAAAGTCACCAATCCAAAATTATTGTGCCCATCTTCTATCTCCCACAATAGCCTCACCTCCCCCAACACACACACACACACACACACACACACACACACACTCACAGTTGAATTTATAATCATATAGCTCTTGAAGGCCAATATTGATTGAAAAGGCATTAAAATCCCATGGCCTAGGGCAGAGGTTGGCAAACTCATTAGTAAATAGAGCCAAATATCAACAGTACAACAATTGAAATTTTTGAGGGGCAAATTTTTAAACTTAAACTTCTAATGCCACTTCTTCAAAATAGACTCACCCAGGCCATAGTATTTTGTGGAAGAGCCACACTCAAGAGCCGCATGTGGCTTGAGAGCTGCAGTTGGCCGACCACAGGCCTAGGGGATTCCATAGGCTGAGAGGAAAGGAGATATTAATATGGCATCAGAATTCTCTCAGCTAGCAGTTATTCTTCTAGTCTACATCTGTCTACAGCTTCAGAGGCTCTTAAATTTACAAAGAAAAGAAGGCCTTGTCCTTGTTCTGAAGGAGCTTGTCCCCTTATTAGACGACAAAGCATGTGTGAATAAAACATTTGGGGAAGCCATACAAGACCCAGAATAATAAAGTGCTAAAACTGTGGGGTTGAAGCCGGGGGAGAGGAGGTAGGCTTTCATAAGAACAGAGCGCCCAGTCAGACTACAAGTCAGGAGGATGGCAAGAAGCCAAGGGGCTGAGTCATACCCCCAAAGAAAGATTGGATTGAGGGAAGATTAAAAAGAAAGAAAGAAAGAAAACAAAAACCACTAACATGTATTATATACCTATTACATTCTAGGGATTATGTCTGACAATGTTTTATCTTATTTTGGCCTCATTGTAGTATTACAAAGTATATAAGCATATCCATATTTTTACAGGTGAGGAAACTAAAGCTTGGTTAATATTATCAAATATTGTCTACATTGTACTTTTTTTTTTTAGACTTTTTCCTGTGTCTTCATACTTTATTTTCAGAGAACTATACCAAATTCATCATGATTGAAGACAATAAGGAAAACAAAGACCATTCTTTAGAAAGAGGAAGAGCAACTCTAATTTTTTCCTTAAAGAATGAAATTGGAGGACTTATAAAAGCACTGAAAATCTTCCAGGTAAGCACTCTCCATATCTTACATGAAACTCTCTAAAATGAGTCTCTAAAATTATAGTTAAAGACATACCTATTTGTTCGTCTGCATAGTGTGAATCCACCCATTTTACTTATCCTCCAGGCTGGCTGGCTGGCTTTCTTTCTTTCTTTCTTTCTTTCTTTCTTTCTTTCTTTCTTTCTTTCTTTCTTTCTTTCTCTCTCTCTCTTTCTTTCTTTACTCCTCTCCCTTCCCTCCCTCCCTCCCTCCCTCCCTCCCTCCCTCCCTCCCTCCCTCTCTCCCTTTGTTTCTTTTTTTCAGAGAGGAAGGGAGAGGGAGAGAGAGAAACACCAATGATAAGTATCATTGTTTGGCTGTCTTATGCATGGCCCCAATTGGGGATCGATCTTGTAACTCAGGAATGTGTCCTGACCATTGAACTGTAGCCTCTTGGTTCATAGTTCTGTGCTCAACCACTGAGCTACGATGGCCTGGCAGATTTTGCTCTCTTGGCACAACTTTCTTTCCAGTGATCCCCTCAGCTTCCCTTCCCTTCATCTTTCCAATGCAGTCATATCTCAATTTTTGGCTGTCAGTCTTTAGTGTTTTCATTATTAAGATTATGTAAATCTTGTTCAAAGAAGATCTGTATTATCCATTATCCTGACTCTTCGTTTCCTGTAAAACAGGATTGCAGTGTAGTTTTTAAGAGCATGGACTATGGACCTGGACAGCCTGGGTTGGAATTCCAGCTCTGACTGTGTGCCTTTGGGAAAACTGCTTAACCTCTCTATGCCTGTATCTTAATTGAAATGTCTGACGGGAAATGTCTGACTTACCCTACTTTATCTGAATTTCCCTAGGCCTTCTTGCCTTAATTATTCTTCCGGATGGACTTTGAAATTATTTAGTTACATTTCCTCACCAAACTCCATCAAGGTTTTTATTTTGATAGCACTACATTTATAGGTCAATTTAGGGAGAATTGATATTTTGCACATTTTTCTCAAGAAACATAGTTTAGCCCTAGCCAGTTGGGCTCAGTGAATAGAGCACCCACCTGCAGACTGAAGGGTCTCAGGGTTGATTCCGGTCAAGGCCAAGTACCTCGGTTGCAGTCTTCTCCCTAGGTGGGACTCATGCAGAAGGCAACCCGTCGATGTGTTTCTCTCACCTCAAGATTGCTCTCTGTCTTTTCCTCTCTCTTCCATTCCCTTTAAAAATAAATGGAGAAATATCCCCAGGTGAGGATTAAAAACGAAAGAAAGAAACATAGTTTAGCTTTATACTTACTCAAGTTGTCATTAAGAAAGTATTTAAGAATATATTCGTATTGTAAAAATCCATAAGAAATATATTCAATTAAACTCTTTACTTCTAATCATGCCAGTATATTTTGTAACTGGCTTTCTTCTGTTGATTCCATGATCAATTCCATGTTCCAGGATGAACCCTGCCTATTTTAGTTTCCCAACACCCCTTACACTCACTCTTTCTGTTTCATATTCCCTGGCAATTCTCATTTCATCTCTACCTTTGCTCATACAGTTCTCCTGTTTGGAATCCTCCTTCTTCCCTCTGTCTTCCTAGTCTATCTATTCTTTAAGACTCATGTTAGTTCCAATCTGCTCATGGAAACTTCCACTCGATAAGCCGTGATGCTTTGTGCCTTTGCCAAACACTTGTATTTTTTCTTTGTCTTTTGTGTACTAGACAACGAGGGATAAATTCCTTGTGTGTCTTACCCTTCATTGTATGCTTCACAGCCCTTACTTGACTACGTAGGTTGTCACTAAGTTAATTTAGATCGAAGTGGTTGGCATTGTAGATCAACTACTCCAACCTCCTCATTTTTTTAGATGAAAATCTGTTGGATGACTGACTTAGTGTCACCAGTGCTTTCCCTCAGCTACCCAAATTGGTAAGAGCAGACCCCTTCCTCCCATGGTTTGCACATATGGCACCCTCAGCTCAGAGTGTCCTGAAGAGACCGGAAGAAGCAATCTGCTTTAGCTGATTACTAAGTTTGCAGTTTAAGAGATTTGAGGTTTTAAATACTCTGCGTTCAAGTTGTTCATCTAATTTGATTGGATGCAATTTTGCAAAGGGAACTTTTCTAAAGGGCCAACATGAGCACCACTGAAACTGACCTTATTGGTGAAAATTTTCAAAAGCTCCTTTTTATCTCAGAGACGTGGTATTTCCCTTTGAAGGACAGTCAAGTCTGGCAATCCGAGCACTTCTGATGAGCATTATTAGTTTCGGGAGGATGTGACAAATTTCTCAAACTTTTTTGAATTTTTGAATAAAGTACTTCATATTTAGGGGGAATTATTTTGCTATTGGAATCACTAAAAACATTTTCTCCCTTTGGCTGTTGTGGCAACTGTGACTTGGTTTGTAGTGGTAGCAAAGGCCGTCTTCTCCAAGACTGTTGCCCTTTGTGGTGCTCCCTAAGCTTCACCCTCTGCTTCCCACAGGAGAAGCATGTGAATCTGTTGCACATTGAGTCCCGGAAGTCCAAGAGAAGAAACTCGGAATTTGAGATTTTTGTTGACTGTGATATCAACAGAGAACAATTGCGTGATATTTTTCATCTGTTGAAGTCTAATACTAATGTTCTCTGCGTGAATCCACCTGATAATTTTACCATGAAGGAGGATGGTGAGTTTGAAAAGTGAAAATACTGCTCTGAAGATAAAGTACATTATATGTGTCCTATCTTTTTTTTTAAAATGTGTGATTTTTATTTATTTATTCACTTAATATGTTTTATTTTTCAATTACAGTTGACAATATTGTTTTGCATTAATTTCAGGTATATAGCGTAGTGGTTAGACAATCATAAACTTGACGAAGTGTCTCCCCCCCCCCCCCCCCCCCGATATTTCCAATACCCACCTGGCACCATACATAGTTATTACAATAGTAGATGCCCGATGCATGAAATTCGTGCAAGAGTAGGCCTTCACAGCCACGGTGGCTGCCTTGATCCCATGGCTGCTCTACCCCACGGCTGTAGTCCCAGCTTTGTCTGGAAGGTCATCCAGAAGGATGTCCAGATGGCGGTTCGGTTGATTTGCATATTGTACTTTTATTATTTAGATTATTAACTGTATTCCCTATGCTGTGCCTTATGTCCCCGTGACTATTTTGTAACTACCACTTTGTACTTCTTAATCCCTTCACTTTTTTTCTGTCAGTCTCTGTCCAATCCTATATTTATCTTGAAGAATGAAAGTAAAAACAAAACACTGTCTCTTTAAATGGCTTATAGTCTGGTAGCGAAGGGAACAAAATAGAATTGCTCAAAATTCTAAATAAAAATTATAAGGCAACATTTTGTCAAGTATGAGAGAAGTGAAAAAGGAAACCTTAAGTATAGGATAGAATTCAGGATAGTTAGAAATCTATTAAATTGTCTCAGTTTCCAAATCATCAGGCATTTCTTGATTTCAGAAACTTCCAATTCTGTATTCACATGGTGGTGCAAACAATAATATGTTGAAATACTTTCATTTTTGGCTGTCAGGTAGCTGTTTCCCTGGGTCCTGTGAGTACTTTCCACTGTTGCTCCAGATGCTCCCCTAGGAGTTCCCTGCCTGCCACAGAGACAGGGTTGATTCCCGGTGGAGCAGGAGCCTAGGCTTCTGCTTGTGTCTATTTCGAGTGATGTGCTTGGTGCCCCTGTTTGTGTTTATTGTTAAATCTCTTGAATATCACTTCTGGGTATTTTAGAAAGAGCATTCGTCTGAAGTAAGAAGGATCCAGTTCTAATCCTCTCTCCTCTCTTAGGGAGGGATGAGTTCCCTTGGTAAATTACTTTATCCTTCTGGACTTTGATGACCTCACCTATAAAATTAAGAGTTTTATAGAGGCTATCTGGTTTGATTTGTTTCCAATATTTCTATTAAGAAATAAGGATACGAAAATAGATAGTCCTTACCCTAGAATGTTCCCATTTTTTCCCCCTGTAAGACAGACATGTTACAGATTCATTATATTAAAACATAAAGAAAGCTTTTAGAGAATTAGAAACAGGGTGTCATGGGAATCCAGATGACAGAGAATTAGCTCCACCTCCAGGTCAGGCTCCTTTGATTTGGAAGCAGGAGGATGGTTTCAGGAAAACAAGAGGAAAGGAGGTTTGGATGGAGCAGGAAGTGAGAGGGGTCAGGTGTTTCAAGCAGAAGAACAGCATATATAAAACCCAGAATGTCTGGGGGATGGTGAGAATTTCAATGTGGCAAAGGCATAAATGATCTCTCAGATCCTTTTCATCAACAAAAATAAGCATTCACATTTCTTTTTCTTTTTTTTTCTATTCACATTTCTTATTAAATTTGCCCCTTGTTTGTGAAGATTCTGCCTTTTTTTTATGGAGGTCAAATATATAGCTTAAAAAATGTTGTCTGTTGTTGAACTTTTGGTCTACCAGCAAAGTATAGCATTTTCCCAATATTTAGAAAATCAAGGTTTATACATTTTAAGCTAAAATAATTTGAATATTTACTTATTAAAAATAGAGAAGTTTACTTGTACAAATTTTGCCTCAATGTACAAGCAAAAATTAAAAATCTCATCTAAATGTATGACATTCTTAATTTCTTCTTTCTTAGTGTCTTAAGATTGTCTCGTTAGCTGTTAGTGGTGTTCATATTTTTCAGGTATAGAAATGGTTCCTTGGTTTCCAAAGAAGATTTCTGACCTGGACCATTGTGCTAACAGAGTTCTGATGTATGGATCTGAACTGGATGCAGACCATCCTGTACGTATTTTTTTTTAATAAATAATTTCATGACAATAATTTAAAGCAAACATGACAATAATTTAAGGGAACCTTTTTACGTTTGGAGAAAGTGCTTGTTCTAGAGTCAACAGCATCTTGTTTCAATTGGGATTTCAGGGAGTTTCCCTGTTGGTGGAATTGAGACCAACTGCCTGAAGGGCATCGGACTTGTGGGCTCCAAAGCACCTGTTCAGTGCCTGACATTCCTCCTAGTATTAAGAGCTATTCAAAGAGTTATTCCAAAATAAAGATACGACCTGCAGTCAGTTTTATTAAAATGGGCATGGGTTATTGGAAAGGGGAACAAAGACAGGATGGAAAAACGTATCACCTACGCTGCCCAGCATAATTCGATTATTAGGCCGTTGTTTCCTTGGGAACATTGTTTCCTTGGGAAATTACAAGGGTGTAGAGTACAGGCACCAGTTGGAGAATTAATAAACCAGAGCGTTAGGATTGCGGATGGAGCTCTAGGATCCTGGGAGGGGAAGGGAGCAGAGAGTGCAGCGGTGAAGTCGCATAGACCAGGGCTTTAATCTAGCGTCTACATTTGTGAGCTCTGTGAATGTGCCTGTGTATTGCCTTAGCCCCCAGCCAGTCCATCCATTTATTCTGTAGTATCTTATTGAGTAACTATTGGAACTTATAAATGTCATACCTGCCAGGGAGTTTACAGTCCAGATGAAAAGATAAAGCACACATACAAATAAAGACATATGAGATGAAAATGTGGAAAGTGTGCTTAGTAGCTTTAAGATATACACAAGAGAGCAAACATCTCCAGCTAAAAAGATCAGTTGTGTGATTAAGAAAAAAATCTTATCCTTGAGATAAAGCCTGAATTTAATTAAATGGTGCTTTTATTTTTCAAACTATTTTATTTTTGTAGCCACTATAGTATTTTTGTATCTATGTATCTACAGTATCTTTTTTTTTTTTTTACACACATAGGAGGATGTGTGTGTTTTTTTCATTGATGAGAGAGAGAGAGAGACTGAGAGAGCAAGACTGGGGTCGGGGGAGGGAGAGAGGGAGAAGGGGGGAAAAAAAGGGTGAGGGCAAAAAGGAGGGAGAGAAACATGAATGTGAGAGAGAAACATCCACCCATTACCTCCTGTATGCACCCAGACTGTGATTGGACCTCCAACCTGGGTATTCACCCTGACCAGGAATGGAACCCAAGACCCATAGGTGCACAGGTTGACATTCTAATCCCTGAGCCACATCAGCCAGGACTGTATCTGTAGTATGGTTCATTTTTGTAGCCACTATGGTATAAGCTGTCATGTAGTATTGACTTTAAAATAAAAATGATCATAAATTTCTAAACAATGCTTGCTCAGAGTAACCATTATGCAACTCTTTAATATAATAGCTCGGGTAATAATAAAAATGTTTCCCTAATATCATTTGTCAAGTTTATTTTAGTATTAATGTTTAAAGCTTTTTTTTTTTTTTTTTTTAATTATCAGGGCTTCAAAGACAATGTCTATCGTCAAAGGCGGAAGTATTTTTCAGACTTGGCTATGAACTATAAACAGTAAGTGTATTATAAAAATAACATCACTCTGGGGAGGGAGGGCATGTATGGGAGAGGGGGGGCAATAGTAAGATATGTACACATATAAAAATTTAATAAAAAATTAAAAAAATAAAGATTAAAAAATATATATCTAAAAAAATAAAATAACTTATCAACTTTAAAATAATAAAATCAATGAAGAGAGTAATTTATGCTCATTTAGTAAATAGAGAATAAGTGCTACTGTTTGTTGAATGCCAATTCTTTATCTCGCTAGTGGCGACCCCATTCCTAGAGTTGAATTCACTGAAGAGGAGATTAAGACCTGGGGAACCGTGTTCCGAGAGCTCAACAAGCTCTACCCAACCCACGCCTGCAGAGAGCATCTCAGGAACTTACCTTTGCTTTCCAAATACTGCGGCTATCGGGAAGATAATATCCCACAGTTGGAAGATGTTTCAAACTTTTTAAAAGGTAGTAAGCTAATTAAATTTTTTCTTAAGGGGTATGTTGAATTCTGTGTGGATTATGAGAGAATGTTTTTTTTTTTTTTTTAAAGAGTATCTTTTTAAAAAAATTTTTTATTGATTTTTTTACAGAGAGGAAGGGAGAGGGAGAGAGTTAGAAACGTCGATGAGAGAAACATTGACCAGCTGCCTCTTGCACACCCCTCACTGGGGATGTGCCCGCAACCAATGCACATGCCCTTGACCGGAATCGAACCTGGGACCCCTCAGTCCGCAGACCGACGCTCCACCACTGAGCCAAACTGGTTTCGGCCATGAGAGAATTTTTAAAAATATTTTTATTGATTTCAAAGAGTGGAAGGGAGAGGAGAGGGAGAGTTAGAAACATTAGTGATGAGAGAAAATCATCCATCAGCTGTCTCTTGCATGCCCCCTACTGGGGATCGAGCTCACAATCCTGGGCTTGTGTGATGATCAGAAATCAAACCATGACCTCCTAGTTCATGGGCCAACACTCAACCACCAAGCTGCACCGGCGGGGATTGAGAAAATTTTTAATAGAGGAATAATGTCCAGTGATTTCAGAGATGAGACTTTTCCTGTACTCTGTCCTGGAGTATTGGATCCTGTATTGGGCACCACATAATGGAGGGACAATCAGCACAAGTATAGAAGAGAGTGAGCAGAAACTTAACGGGATTGGAAATGGTAGTTCCTGAGTCACACTAGCCACATTTCAAGTGCCCAGTAGTCACATATGGCCAGTGTGTGACTAGATAGAGAACATTTCCATCCTTGTGTTAAGTTCAATGGGACCATAAAATCTGCCTGTCAGAATGGGATAATCCCACTGGAATACTGGAGTGTGAGGGTTTGAAATGAAAGGCAAAATGGGAGCTTGTAAAGGTCCCTGAGCATGGCTACCTCCTGGAAGGCACTTTTGCAGCGGGCATGCAGTCTTGGCTGTTGGGGAATGGGAGACCACAATCCAATATTGATAAAGTAAAGAACCTACTTTATAAAAGGCAGTACTGACTGAAAAATGGCATAGGTTCTAAAATGGTTCTGATCTAGCCTTAATTGGTTTGGTCCAGTGGATAGAGTGTTGGCCTGCAGACTGAAGGGTCCCAGGTTTGATTCCGGTCCAGGGATGTGGGCTCGATCCCCAGTAGGGGACATGCAGGAGGCAGCCGATCAATGATTCTCTTTATTGATGTTTCTATCTCTCTCCCTCTCCCGTTTTCTCTGAAATAAATAAAAATATTTTAAAAATAAAATAAAATGGTTCTGATCTAAAGTAATAGATTCTCTCTAGGGGAAATTCTAACTCTGTAGGGAGCCAACAGGTGTAGAATAAGGAGACCTGGGTTCTCATCCTACCTTTAACATGCACTGTGTGGCCTTGGACACATTACTGAGTTGCCGAGCCTCAGTTTTATCGTTGTTACAATGAGGAGAATAAACTTTAACTCATGCTGGAAACCTCAAAGGAGACGTGATATGTAACAGGTCTAATTCATTGTCTGGCCATGGCAAGTGCTTAGTAATGATTACTTCCCCTAGTACACATAGGATACACTTTAGTGTTCTGTCCTCTCTCAAAGTGTAACTGGGTGCCGCTGGCCGAGTTACAGTGAGTGCTGAAGTGTGTGGTCTGTGCTGGTGAAGACTGTCTCTCTGTGTTCTCCCTTGCTTTGCAGAGCGCACAGGCTTTTCCATCCGTCCTGTGGCTGGTTACTTATCATCAAGGGATTTCTTATCCGGTTTAGCCTTTCGGGTTTTCCACTGCACACAGTATGTGAGACACAGTTCAGATCCCCTGTACACCCCAGAGCCGTAAGTACTTCTCCATCATTCAGTCATCACATAGCTGCTTGTAATACTGATATCTATCTCACGAGACTGTTGTGAAGATGAAATACATTAGCACATGTGCAACAGTGGTTCCTGGCACATAATACCTGATTCATGCTTTATATAGGTTATCCATTGTTGTCGTTTATTATTATTATTATTATTATTATTATTATTATTATTATTATTTGATTACCTGTTAGGTGATAGGTGCTGTTCTAAGCATAGAGGATGGACAAATGCCTAAATACTGAAAAAAAAATCAAACAAAAATTCCTGCCTCATATTCGTGTGTGTGTGTGTGTGTGTGTGTGTGTGTTATTGCTATTTTGGAAAGGGTAGTCAGGGAAGGCCTTGTAGAAAAGGTAACTTTTGAGCAGAGACCTGATTTGGGGTAGCAGAGTATGTGGATGTCTGTGGCCATCTGTATGTACTTATATGTGTGGTTTTGTGTGTGGCCAAGGTTTTGAACCAAAACTGTTTCTTTATTTGGTTGGTGTGTTTTGGGATCCTTTTCCAAAGTAATAACTTTTGATCAATCTGAATAAAAGTAAGATCTGATTTTAATTTCATTGAATTATTGATGAATGCATTTATTTTAAGCATCACAGTTTGACAGTCTTGTACCTCTTTTTTAGAGATACCTGCCATGAACTTTTAGGTCATGTCCCCCTCTTGGCTGAACCTAGTTTTGCACAATTCTCCCAAGAAATTGGCCTGGCATCCCTTGGAGCTTCAGAAGAGGCTGTTCAAAAACTGGCAACGGTATAAGACTGAAATAACTGTAGAGATCAGTAATTCTTGACAGGGTTGGGATGTGGATATTTGCATAGTTTAAAAGTGCATATTCAACATGACCATTAGAAAATGTGTCTTGGCTCCTCTTGAATTTAATTTAAATAACGTTAAAGGAGGATGTAAAATTTTAAGGTCTATCAAAAGAAGACATGAGCTTAAAAAAAATGACAGAGAAACACTAGAGTACAATAATGTTAATAGTTTCTATATCTTCCCTTTCCAGTAAAAATGATGGTTTCCCCCAAAATGATGCTAAAAACATTTTGAGTACTAGGTACAAGACATCATGCTGCAAATACAAATATGAGAAAGTTCTGGTTCCTGTCTTCCAGGAATTTATCACTACATAACGTGTTATTTATGTTACCATAAAATGGTTTATTATGTTTTAAAACTAATTGGTAAACATTTACATATTTTCTCAGTTTTAACTTTTAATATGATAAGTAAACGAAGACTTTGGTGTCCTCAGTAATGTTGAAGTAGTATAGGATCTTGGGAACAAAAGTTTGAGAAGTGTTGGTTTAGAATGAGGCCAGATTGTAAAAATACTTGTGAGCTAGTCTGGGGGTCTTGCACTTTATCCCAGGATACTTTGGGACAGTGACAAAGAGTTGTAATTTGTTTTAAATTTAGTCATTTGGGATGTGAAAGTAACATTGATGTCCTTTTGCAGTGCTACTTTTTCACTGTGGAGTTTGGTCTGTGTAAACAAGATGGGCAGCTAAGAGTTTTTGGTGCTGGCTTACTGTCTTCTATCAGTGAACTCAAAGTAAGAGTTGTGAATCTTTGCACATCACCGTATTTGCTTAATATCACTTATATGACCTGAAATAGTTTGTGGATTGAACAAAAGCTTAGTATGGGAAATACTTAAAGTGACAGTAAACATTATTTAAGGGACACTTTTTTCTATTTCCCAAATATTCTGGGGGGTGTGTGTGTAATTTTAAAATTAAACAAGTATTTTAAAGCTGTTGCTTACGAAGTCTTGATGTTTCCTCACCATTTTATGTGCTAGCAAAAACTTCTGTAATTTTTAGGGAGTTCTTTGAAATTTTTATTTAGCAAATAAAGGAATAAATTCAGGCTCTTGAAAAATGAATTTGGCGCAAATCCAAGGCACTGTCTTGCTCTCAAGGAGTCTGCCACCTGGTGGTAGTACAGGTCATGCATACGGTAGGAATAACTAGTGCAGGTAGAAAGTAGGTAACATAATGCAGAATAAATATTCTTGGGTGCCTCCTTCATGGAGAAGAGTGTTAGAACAATGGAAATGATCTAGAGGCATTTACCGAGAATGGCAAGACGTTTGCTTTGCTAGATAATATCGTGAGTTAAATGGAGCTGTAGGAAATTAGTGTGAAACTGTAGGTTGGGACCGTTGCATTAGTAATACATCCAGAGGTGCACTGATTCTGGCAGTTGTGTGTAGAATGTGATATATGAAAATAGATAGTATTCTTTGATTCACTAACTCTTTGTCTTCCAGCATGCACTTTCTGGACATGCCAAAGTGAAGCCCTTTGACCCCAAGATTGCCTGTCAACAAGAATGTCTCATCACAACGTTTCAGGATGTCTACTTTGTATCTGAAAGCTTTGAAGATGCAAAGGAAAAGATGAGGTAAAGTATATCTTTCTCATGCCTTAATTCCTCCCTGTAGCACATAGGTCAAATAGTAACAAATCAGAAGTAAACTACTGGGCCGAAACTGGTTTGGCTCAGTGGATAGAGCGTCGGCTTGGGGACTGAAGGGACAGGGGTTCGATTCCGGTCAAGGGCATGTACCTTGGTTTCGGGCATATCCCCAGTAGGAGGTGTGCAAGAGGCAGCTGATCGACGACTCTCTCTCATCGATGTTTCTAACTCTCTATCTCTCTCCCTTCCTCTCTGTACAAAAATCAATAAAATATATTTTTTAAAAAAAAGAAGTAAACTACTGGATAATTAGAACCTACTAGGAGCCTTCTGTTTGCAAACACTTACCTTTTGTAACATATTTAGAGTATGTCATTTACAATGATAGTTGTAAATTATGAGTCAGATACATTAATAAATTGGTTTCTTCCCATTTCTTCCAATCAGAGTTTATACTTTAATAGGCAAAAAACTATACAAAAATTATATATAAGAACAAAGAAAGCCTTAGAAGGGATATGTATGAAACATTGTTCTCCATTTTATTCAGGAGCAATTCATCACAGCTGGGGGAAGAGAGAAAGCTAATGGCATTTTTGAAAATACAAGAAGGATAGACAGGATTTAGATATGTCAAGTTTTAGGCTAAGGGGCAGCATTATAAAAAAGGCAAAACGATGGAAAAGCATCAAAGCTATGCTTTAACTATTAACTAGCTATGTGTATTGTTAAAAAAGAAAGAAAAGATATTGCAGGCAGAGAAACTGCTTAGACTCTTGCAATGCTTCAAGTGGAAATAAAAGCCTGAACTAAGATAGTGGTTGTAGGAAAGGAAAGGGCTGTAGAGGCAGAAACAACAAAACAATTTGGTGGAAGGGGAAAGGGGTCATGAGATCATATTGTGACAATGGAGACAGATGGAGGTTGAAGACATGCTCCTTGTCTTTCAGGGATTTTCTTATAGTCGGGGATTTAAGCCATGCACAGTACCAAATAACAGTATCAGAAGGGCTTCCTCTAACACAGGTGGCCCCTTTACGCAACTAGAAGAGGGGTCCCCTCTGGGTAGACCAGCTGGATTGCAAGTTGGATTTCATCTTCCACTCATGTATAATTGTTCTAAGCTGTGCAAGTATCCCCAGGGATCCCGAGCATGATTGTTCTTGGGAGTGCCAAATGAGAGGCTCAGATTTTGGCTTGATAAAAAAGGCAGAACTTTCATGTTTGAAGAAAGGGTAGAATTTAGGTCATAGAATCAGAAAAACTGTTCTTGGCCTGTTTCAGCGTGTGTGTGTGTGTGTGTGTGTGTGTGTGTGTGTGTGTGTGTGTGTAGTTATGTAACTATAATTGAGTGGACTTACTATGTGGCCAGGGTTATTGTTTATAGATAAAGCTACTGTAGATGGTCTCCTTACACTAGTCAAGAGATGTATAAAGCAACACATTGTTAATAAAGCCATCCACAGATCTTTCCCTAGTTGTTCAGGGTAGCTGCGTCCATGATGACTTTAGGTTTTCTCCCTGGGTGATATTCCAGGGTGCCTCTGGACATGCAGTGTAGGGAAGTAGGTCAGATTGGTTGCATGAATGTCTAGATTTGTCTTTTGCCTAGTGTGTGGAATAGATTTGCTGTTATTTATTTATTTATTTTAAAATATATTTTATTGATTTTTTACAGAGAAGAAGGGAGAGAGATAGAGAGCTAGAAATGTCGATGAGAGAGAAACATCGACCAGCTGCCTCCTGCTGGGATGTGCTCGCAACCAACGTACATGCCCCTAACGGGAATCAAACCTGGGACCTTTCAGTCCGCAGGCCGACGCTCTACCACTGAGCCAAACCGGTTTCAGCAGGTTTGCTGTTATTTAGTTTTCATGGTTTCTCCCCTAGAAATTAATTGCCTTTTATTTGTTTTCTTAAATAGAGAATTTACCGAAACAATTAAGCGCCCATTTGGAGTGAAGTATAATCCATATACACAAAGTATTCAGATCTTGAAAGATACCAAGAGCATAACCAGCGTCATGAATGAGCTGCAGCATGATCTCGGTGTTGTCAGCAACGCCTTTGCTAAGGTCAGCCAGCGCCGAGCATCTGACAGTTGCCAGTCCTAATCCTGAGAGCACATCTGAGCATCAGTTCACAAGCCTGGGGGCCAACTCGTGCTTTTCTTGAAGATTTGGTCATGGAGGGCTAGCAGCCAAACAATATTTTCTATTCCCATTCCTTAACGGCCCATTAGTCTTTAAAAATTTGTACCTGGATATGCTAGCCACCACCTGTTTTTGTTTTTGGTGACAGTTTTAGTGAGATATTATTCACAAATCCTACAATCCATGATTACATGTGTTGTTTTTATAGAGAAGTTGTTTGACCTAATAGATATATCGAGTCCCAGCTTGATTCTATTTTTTCCCAATCCTTCTTGAGTAAAATGACCTTTATGAGCAGTTAAAATACCTTCGTAGGATTGTCAACAATAAAAAAAACAACTTTATAGGTATTATGGAGCTGGTCCATGTAGTTATCTTAATCCTCTTATTTCTAAACTATCTTACGTATCACTGAATTTGTGCCAAGCTCAATCACATTCACACCCCTAAGTTTAATAGGAGACCAGCTGCTGGCATGAAAAACAGTTTAGAGGTATGCACATGAAGCATACCCAATAAAGAGCAAGCTATCTAGCTTCAAGTGTGCATTCTTGTAGGGATAGGAGTAGCTAAGTCTGGAAAGGTCAATAGGGGTGTAATCTTAAGACCAGGCTAAGAATTTGGGACTTTTATTTGGTAGGCACTAGGGAGCCCCTTCCCAAATGACAATTCTCTTTGAAACTTCCTTTTCTGTGGCATTGCATGACACTGGTTTTATTTTAGATGATCTGTCCCACTCATGGGGCCAAGGGAACTTGGTGGGGGTACTACTTGCAAGGCCCGTACTCAGACATGCAGCCCCAGGTTTTGTGACAGATTGTCCTTGGGTTAGCAGGAGGCAGTGTTGGGAAAGGTAATTCATATTTTTACATTGCTTTTAAATTATAATAGCTGATTAACTGTTAAATATATTTTTTGATACTAAATAGATCTAGGCTAATCTAAAATCATTTAAAATATTCATTAGCTAGTTTATAGTTAGTGTGTTTGGTTGCAAGGACATCTATTGTAAGCAAACCATGATAGATGGCAAATAACAGCAAATTATGCATACTGTATCTATTTTTAAAAATGTTTTTATTGATTTAGGGCAAGAGAAAGGGAGAGGAAGAGAGAGAGAGAAACTTCAATCAGCTGCTTCTTGCACACTCCTAATTGGGATTCAAACCCACAACCTGGGCATGTGCCCAGACTGGGAATAGAACCAGCAACCTGTTGGTACATGGAACTATGCTCAACCGACCTGCCTGCCGAGGCTGTGTCTGGTTATTTTCATACCATTTTGATTATGGTGAAGAATCATAGTTATTGAATTGTAAAATGATAATCTTTAAAATCACTCAATGACTAAAGCACACAAATAAATATTTAAAGGCACAACCATTATAATTCACAACTTCAGAATAATGGAAATATTTGAGGATATATTTCAATTCCTCTAACCTCTGGATTTGTGATATTTGGTAAATCAGGAATCTTGAGAGTCTTAGAGTTTTCATGCATTTAAAACATATATCTTGAAACTATCTAGGAAGAGAATTGAACCAAAAGTTTGGTTCATAATTCTTTTGTTCCCTCTGTCCTGTTGCTCTTGCTTGAAAGGGCTGCCTTTGGAGTGTGGTTGGCCCCAGGTATGAGCAAGCATGTGCTCTGGCATTGCAGCCTGAACCCTGGCGCTGTGCGCAGGCGCAGTGGTGGTTCATAATTCTTAATCAGTGGGTTGTTACTCAGACATTATGGTATTCATTTTCCTGACTTGTTGAAGAAAGCTCCAAAATCTGGTCCTTAGAGTGCCTACTAATCTGCCTACTTTGTCATTTGGAGTTATGCAGTAGTAATGCTCCACCAAAATATACAGAATTAGAGTTAATTTTTAATTTGGTTTCCAAACTGAAAAAAGAAAAAAATCCTGGAACTTTTTAAAGACATATAATAGAGTCCATATAGTTAATTTCTAGGAAATACATAAAGAAACTGAGGTCTATTTCAGTGTAGTCTTTGTTTTACTCTGTAATATACATTTATGATTTGCAAGTTTGTTATTCAACTGGATAATAAATGAATACAAAATTCATGTTCTCAGCAAGCATTTATTTTTTTTTGGGTCAAACATGTTAACTCATTTAAATATATCAGCAATTGTATTAGTTTAAGAAATCTATCACATCCTTATATATTTTTTAAAAGCCCATGAATATGCTATATAATAAAAGCCCAGTGACCATATGGTAGAACGACCAGAACGACTGCTTGACCAATCACTATGAGGTGCACTGACCACCTCTTAGTTCCTTTCCCTGGCCGGCTGGCAGGCTCCCATTGCCTGATGGTGAATGGGGATAGGGGGTAGGTGGCGGGAGATGCGGGCAGTGCCAGGCCAAGTCACCCCACACACAGAGGGTGACCCATGGTGGGGTTGGAACAGCAAGCAGGAGAGAACAGTCGATCTCCGGGTCCCTCCACTGGCTGTCAGGCTCCCATCGCCCAATGGTGAATGGGAAACCGGGGTGGGTGGCGGTGGGGGGTGGGGCCAGCTGCCAGCAGCCGAGGAAGATGGCCCTGGTTGCAGGCTAGGCCTAGAGATCACCCACACATGGTTTTGTGCACTGGGCCTCTAGTATGAGGTAAGGAAAGCCAAACATGCCTGGAAACCTGAAACCTAGTAATCATTTCTTGGAATTCTTGGTAAAGTCTCAGTCTCATGATTCTTATCTGTAAAATGAGCAAAATGTACTTTACTGGGTTATTAGAGGAATTATGTTATGAATTGTGTATTACCACATCCATATGTAAATAATAATTAATACACTGAGTGGCTGGATTATTATGATCTCTGGACACATAATCTGGCCACTCTGTGTGTGTGGCTAAGGAGCCTAGTGCATGAATTCATGCATTGGTGGGTTCTGGTCAGCCTGATCAGGGGGAGGAGACATGGACAGTTGGCTGGCCTGCCTGCTAGTCTAACTCCTGGTTGAGGGGACAATTTGCATATTAGCCTTTTATTATATAGGAGCTTGTTCAGAGATCATAATGATCTGGCCACTCAATGTATAGTCAGACATCCTAATCAGACATCCTCCATAGCTTCAAAGAGCTGCTTTGCCTCTCTATAAATTATTTTAAAAAAATATTTTAATGGTGAACACACAATAGAGTATACAGATATTATATTATAAAGTTGTACACATAAAATTTATGTTATTATCCAAAGTTACCCTGATAAATTTAAGAAAAAAATATTTTAAACTGCAAGGATAACTATTAATATCGGTTGCCTCCTGTACACCCCCTACTGAGGGATCAAGACCAAGCCCAGGCCTGTGCCCTTGACCAGAATCGAACCCAGGACCCTTCAGTCCACAGGCTGATGTTCTATTCACAGAGCCAAACTGGCTAGGGCAATGGTCGGCAAATTCATTAGTCATCAGAGCCAAATATCAACAGTACTATGATTGAAATTTCCTTTGAGAGGCAAATTTTTTAAACTTAAACTTCTTCTAATACCATTCTTCAAAATAAACTAACCCAGACCGTGGTATTTTGTGAAAGAGCCACACTCAAGGGGCCAAAGGGCTGCATGTGGCTCTCGAGTCACAGTTTACTGATCACGGGGCTAGGGCATAACTTGCAGTTTAAGTCTTTGTGCACAGCTCTGATTATTTTCTTGTGATAAATTATCAGATGTGGAATTACTGGGTAAATATCTATCTTCATATTCCTAATATCCACCGCCAGATTTCCTTCAGGAAATTTGTGCTTAATTAGCTCCCACCAAAAGTGTATGAGGATGTCTGATAAAAGCCATTTTTATGAAAATCTTTACTGGGCGAAAGTTACCCAGTATTGATGATCAGAATCAGGGCAGGACTATGCTCAGAGCACTGAGAGTCAGAAGGCTGCCCCAGCAGGAGTCACCAAACCAGTCTCCTCATTGTAAGTTCCCGACCCCTACCAGGTGCTGACACCAACCATATAAGACACTACCTCATCTACCCTCCCTTAAATTTTGCAAATGCACCCCAAAGCAGGCCCAATGAGTTCAGCCTAAGACCCTGAGGCAGGACTCTTTCCACCGCTTCCCGGGCTCACTTTCTTCCCCATCAGACGGTGACACTCTGGGCTGTCGCGGGACTCCGAGGGGACAAAAATGTGAAGGACCATGGTGCAATCCTACAGAATTATTACTAAAAGCAGAAGCAAAGCCTTGGCTGGTTTGGCTCAGTGAGTAGACCGCCGGGGTCACCTGCAGCGCGCTGCCGCCGGCCACTGGGAGGCAGCTTGGGAGGCTGTTGCTAGGCTCTCGCCCGCTCTTCATTTCCGGCGACACCCGGGTGCAGCCTGCAGGCCACGCCCCTCCCCGCCCTGGCCCCGCCCACCCCCGCCCTGGCCCCGCCCACCCACCGCGATCGCCCCGCCCCTTGCCCCAGCCCCGCCCGGAAGCGTCGGTGGACAGTCCCCGCATGGAGCTCAAGCCCAGCTCCTCAGATGCCACCTCTGCTCCGGCCGCGCTCTTCGCCTGGGTGCGTGACTCCGCCCCCGCGCCGGGGCGGCTGGGACCGAGGGGCGCGCGGAGGCGGGGGGCTCCCGGCCTCGGCGTGGGCGATCCTGGGCTGCGCGGCGGAGATCCGAGCCCGGCGCTGGCTCGCTGGCTCGGTCGGAGGATCCTGGGCCGGGGGCGGAAGAGGAGAGGGCGGAGGGAAGGGGCTTCGCGGCGTGACAGGGGGCCTGCTGGCCGGTGGGGTCCGGGCCGGAGGGGCTGCGGCTCAGCGGGAAGAACCTGCCTCCAGGGCAGAGCGTCTGGTTCTGCCTGAGCTCCAGGAAGGACGGCGTGGATGGCTTCAAAGAGATAGGATCGCCTGTCTAGGAACCCTGCGGGCCACCTGGGCTCCGCACCCTGACACTGCCCGGAGGATGGGACCTTGCCCCAGCCCCCGCCCCAGCC